GTTGCTTCTTAAAAACATTCCTTGGAGGAGCATTATTATGTGCTACAGCAAAGGATGGAAATAATCAGATGTATCCTGTGGCTTGGGCTGTTGTAGAAGCTGAAAATGAGGAATGTTGGAGGTGGTTCTTGATGATTTTGTTTTCAGAGTTGGGGATAAGAGATGGATTGGGTTACACATTTATATCAGATCAGCAAAAAGTAAGTTATTCTCTTTATATAATGTTTACTTCCTTTTTTTCTGTATGTATATTAGATTTAAACTTAATTAGTTCTCATTGTTACAGGGTCTTCTAAATGCATTAAAAGATTTGGTACCTCATGCTGAGCATAGAAATTGTGCTCGGCATGTGTATATGAACTGGAAGAAAAGTTTCAAGGGTCAAGGTTTGAAGTTCATTTTCTGGAGGATTGTGCTTAGCACCCATATGGGTGACTACAACATTGCATTGGGAGATTTAAAGGCTGAAGATCCAGATGCCTATGATGACTTCATTGACAGAGATCCATCTAAATTCTGTAAGGCTTTCGTTTCTCCCTTACCTAGGTGTGACATGATAGAGAACAATGTCAGTGAGACATTTAATGGCTTCATTGTCAAAGGTAGAGGGCAACATATCATTGACATGCTTGAATTTGTGAGGAGTGAGTTGATGAAAAGACAACATGGGAAACTTATGGAGTTTAGTGGTGTTACTGACACCATTTGTCCTCGAATAAGAACAAAGCTAGAGCAAAACAAGTACAAGTCCAGACTTTGTGTCCCAAAGCCTGCAGTTGGAGACAGATTTCAGGTTGCATATGAAGATGATCAATTTGTGGTTGACTTAAGAAGTAACACATGTACTTGTAGACAATGGGACATAACTGGAATACCATGTGTTCATGCTTGCTCAGCCATACATTTTCAGCACAAGGAGCCAGCAAACTTTGTTTCTGAATACTACTCAGTTGAGAGGTACTTGAAGATGTACAACAATTCCTTGGAACCACTCAATGGAAAGAAGTTGTGGCCACTGGCTGAAGGTTACCCAATCCAACCACCTCCTTTCAAGAAAATGCCAGGTAGACCTAAGAAAAAGAGAAGAAGAGCTCCAGAGGAAGAGTTGAGATGTGGAACTAAGTTGAGAAGGTTTGGTTTAACTATGACTTGTCAAAGGTGCTTGCAGAAGGGACATAATAAGAAGTCTTGTACTAATCCCCAAGTTGAAAAACCTCCTAAGGTAAAATATTAGTTCATTTTGTTTTTTGTTTCAATGAAGCATATCATAACTGGTTATTTTTTTTTATAGAATCCAAGAGGGAGGCCAAAGAAAAATCCAGGACTGCAATCAAATAGAGAGGAAATTATTCAACCCGGGGGTCAGAATCTTGATCCAACTACTCAGAAGAGAACAAAACTACTTGTTAGGAGAGAGATGCCCACACAAGATGCCTCTTTGATACAAAAAGAACGAGCCTTGGTAAATCATATAAAAAACTTGTTTATGTTGTCAGTCCTGTTTATTTCTTTTATATATATTCATGTAATTGGTTTTATTTCTGTAATTGGTTTTATTTCTTTTATATATATTCAGGCTAGGAAAGGATATGGCATTTTACAGTCTGAGGAAACAGGGAATACTTATATGAGGGTATGTTTTAATGGTTATTGTCTGCTTCATTTTTAGGGACATAAATTAGTTGCAGTTGTGACTCTTGCAGATGTGTTTCTCTTATGTCAATACTTATGTGATGTTTTTTATTTTCTTCTATGTCTGTGATTCTTGCAGTTGTCTTCTGAAAGAAGGGTGCATCTCATTCCTAGAAAGGGTGCAAGTGAGTCAAGAAGCAAAGCAAGTGGGTCAGGAAGCCAAGGTACTAGGAAAAGCAAAAGAGTTGAAAGTAGGAGTTCAAGGAGGAGTTCAAGACTGAAAGCAAGTGAACAAGTCTTGGGCACTCAAGAAAGTGTTGCACACAAATGATGATTGATTTGTCTGTTTGAACAAGTATATGTATTTGGATAAGACTGTGTTATTGTGCTTGTGTGTGTTTTTGGGGGTTTTGTTATGAATATGGATTAAGAACAGTTCTGTGACCATGTTTTGGGGATTTTGTTGTTTGAAATGATGTCAAACACTTGTATTTGCAGGTTGCCTATGAAATGAAACAACATTTGTGTTATTTAATCTGCTGCTTGTTGTGTTATGTTCTGTTTATTGCAAATTTTTTGTTGTTAATTTCATAGGCAAATTTTGGTTGTTCATTTTGGAATTTACACAGGCTAACCAAATGATTAAAGTACACTTGCTCTCTTACAATGCTAAATGGAGAGACAGAACCATTTGCAAACCTCATCTAACTGCCCATAAGTTTGCTTCATGCTGTTCTTCACTAATAATCACATCAACTAAAAAAAAAGGATTGCACTTTGCAACAAAATACAAACTTATTAACTGCCAAAATATTGTTACATTACACATAATCCATTAAATCATCCATAATCCATTAATCCATTCAAAACCTACTGTGTTCTTCAGAGGATTACAACTTCAATTTCAGCATTTCTTCAGCAAAAACAAAACTACATTACACCTTCATTTCAGCATTTCTTCATAGGATTACAGCTTCAATTCAACATCTTCATTTTTTGTCCCTTTCCATCCTTACCAAACCAACCCATAACAGCAAGAAGAGCAGCTACAACCAAGCAAAAAATGAGAACATTTATCTTCTTATCTAAGGCTTGCAAATGAGTATCTACTGTGTTCTTAAGGGTCGACATGAGTTCTGCATTTTTTTCAGCTACAACTCCAAGCTCATTCACCCTGCTCTGAAGCTCCTCCACCATGTCAAAGTTTTCATCTTTCACATCTTCTGTATCCATTTTCTCCATGCCCAGCTTGCACCTTAGTTGTTCCTCTAAATCCTCTTTCTCTGCCTTC